TAAAGTTTTACTAAAGGTAATACAGAAACAGCTGCAAGTATACATTGACAGAGAACTTCCAGAGGTTCAAGTCGGATTCAGAAGAGGCTGTGGAACAAGGTATGTAATTGCTGATGTCCGATGATAATGGCTGAAATCTGAGAATACCAGAAAGATGTTTACCTGTGCTTTATTGACTACCCAAAGGCTTTCGGTTGTGTGGATCATGACAAGCTATGGACAACATTGCAAAGTCTGAGTATTCCGGAACACTTAATTGTGCTCATGAGGAATCTGTAACTGGACCAAGAGGCAGTTAGTTGTTCAAACAGAACACTGAATGGTTTAAAATTAAGAAAGGTATGCAACAAGGTTATATACATTCACCATACTTATTCAACCTGTATGCTGAGCAAATAAACTGAGAAGTGGGTTATATGAAGAAAAATGTGGCATTAGGATTGAAGGAAGGCTCATTAACAACCTGCCATACGCAGATGAAACAACCTTGTTTATTGAAAGTGAAGAGGACTTAAAATATCTACTAATGAAGATCAGAGAGCATAACCTTTGATATGGATTTCATCTCAATGTAAAGAAAACAAAAATCCTCACCACTATACCAATAAATAACATTCTTATCATGGAAAAATTATTGAAGTTGTCAAGGACTTCGTTCTTCTTGGATTGACTATCAACACTCATGGAAACAGCAGTCAAGAAATCAAACAATGTATTGCATTAGGCAAATCTGCTGCACAAGATGTTTTTGAAGTGTTAAAGAGCAAAGATGTCAGCTTGAGGACTAAGATGTGCCTGACCAAAGCCATGGTATTTTCAATAACCTCATAAGCATGTGAAAGCTGGACAGTGAATAAGGAAGACCATAGAAGAATTGATGCTTTTGAGTTATGGTTTTGGAGGAGAATATTGAAAGTGCCATGGGCTGCCAAAAGAACAAACAGACCCGTGTTGGAAGAAGTGCAGCCAGAGTGCTCCTTGGAGGCCACGATGGCCAAACTTCATCTCTCCTACTTTGGACATGAGGAAAAGATTCAGACAATGGAAGAAAATGTTTAATTTTATGTAATTATAGTAATTGTTGTGAAGTGCCTTGTAGCCAGTTCCGACTCACAGCAACCCTGTATAGAGTTTCCGAGGAGCCGCTAGTAGGCTTGAACAACTAGGAGCAAACCAGTGCTTATCCTACAGTGCCACACCTGGACTCTGTAATAGAACATCAAATATGTGGGGCAGGGGAAATGATACCTATTCTTAAAGAAATTTGGCTTTTCAAGGGAAAGCACTGTGGAAAACTGTAATTAGAAAATATTTGTACAGAGACCACGATTCTCTGAGTACTCTGGCGGTTGTGCACAGTTGAGTTGGTTCTGACACACAGCGACTCTGTATAGAGTTTCTGAAGCGGTAAATGTTTATGGAGCAGAAAGCCTTAGTTTTCTCTCTTGTAGAAGGCAGTGCATTTGAACTGTTGACCTTGCAGTTAGCAGCCCAATGTGCAACCCACTATACCACCAGGGCTCCTTCAGAGTATTCTACAAACCCCAAAGCAAGAAAGCTCTAACAGCAGAGCTTGATTTCTAGCCAGCCAAATGATTTGTTGACAATGTGTTAAATTTTACAAAAACTTGGGAGATATATAGTCATCTTAGATGGAGTCTAATTGTCATTTTCCTCAACCATTGTTGTTGTTGTTAAGTGCCATCGAGTCGGTTCCGACCCATAGCGACCCTGTACAGGGTTTCCGAGGGTGTAAATCTTTACGGGAGTAGA